GGCCCCGCCCCATTAATAGTGACCACAATCAGACCCACCAAATTAAGCACCCCGAAAAAGGCCCAATTGACCTAAGGATATGATCAGACTCGAGGCGCACAGAAGTCAAGCAGATGCACATCTTCGGACATCGGTGATGATGTTAAGGGTTAGGTTCACATTGAGTTGGGGGGCCAACTTAAGGCTCAGGGGTTAAGGTTGCAGTCGAGTTAAAGTAAAGCTAAATTCGGGTAGGTTGAAATATTTTAAGTTAAGTGAAGCTAAATAGATTAAAATACACTAAGGTGAACTAAGCTAAGGTGAGCTAAGCTAAGTTCAGCCGCCAAGCGAATCAAATTAGAGATGAGTAGAATACATTGACATTGAATAAACTTAGTTAAAACTTTTAACTGTTAACTTGAAAGTTCGGGGATACGTTAAAGTAAAGTTAAGCTACGTTAAGCTAAGCTGAGGTGGGCCAAGTGATCGCTGCGAAGCTGCTACACTGAACTGAATTAAGCTCACTCAAAGCCACAGCTCCAGCTCAAGCCGCCAACAGGTTGACTCATGCCACACCGGCATGGGCCATGGGGCTTGGGGGGTCGTGTGGCGCCAGTTTTTGCGCACAAAATGCGCGCAAAAACTGGCCAATATTAAAAAAAAGTAGATTGCGAAAATTTATAGGTTCGACCCCGTCCTCCTTCTTATAGCTTGGGGCAGGGGCCTGGGGGGTCCCGGGCCCTGGCTTGAGGGGATCCCGGCCGTGGCCGGCCTCTGGCTGGATCCGGGCCGATCGATCATTTTTAGTAGCAGAACCGGATTCCTTTTAGAAAACATGATCACATTTTCATGACAGTCTGAAAAACATGATCACATTTTCATGGCAGTCTGATGCAAAACCCTGGTGTTTTTTTTGGTGCTCCTGTTGCGATTTGCTGGTGCTAATTTTGCGATTTGCTGGTGCTAATTTTGCTTGGGTAGTTTTCTAGATTGTGCTTTTTTTTTGTGCTTTGCTGGTGTTTTTTTTGGTGCTCCTGTTGCGATTTGCTGGTGCTAATTTTGCGATTTGCTGGTGCTAATTTTGCGATTTGCTGGTGCTAATTTTGCGATGTGCTGGTGCTAATTTTGCTTGGGTAGTTTTCTAGATTGTGCTTTTTTTTTGTGCTTTGCTGGTGCTTTTTTTGGTGCTCTCGCTGGTGCTCCCTCTCATATAAACTTAATCGTGTGCAGCTGTGTCCCATTAAATCTTAGCATATCTGGTGCTTTTCCTGGTGCTAATTTTGCGATTTGCTGGTGCTAATTTTGCGATTTGCTGGTGCTAATTTTGCTTGGGTAGTTTTCTAGATTGTGCTTTTTTTTTGTGCTTTGCTGGTGCTTTTTTTGGTGCTCCTGTTGCGATTTGCTGGTGCTAATTTTGCGATTTGCTGGTGCTAATTTTGCGATTTGCTGGTGCTAATTTTGCGATTTGCTGGTGCTAATTTTGCTTGAGTAGTTTTCTAAATTGTGCTTTTTTTTTGTGCTACATGATCTGGTTTTTTTGGAAGGCGCGCAGGCCCTGCGCGGATCTACGGCTCACTGTTTGACTGACAGGTGGTGCTTTTCTGGTGCTCGCCCGCTGCTTAGCTCCTGCTTTTCTGGTGCTCGCCCGCTGCTTAGCTCCTGCTTTTCTGGTGCTTTTCTGGTGCTCTTCTGGTGCTTTTCTGTGCTTGCAGCACTGAAGCCTCTGCAGGGTCGCAGACCACTACGCCGACGCCTGCCAAACCTTAGCTGGACAGTACCGCAACCCTCCAATCACAGCTGGCAACACAAACAGCCCACAGCGTACAGTTATGCTATGCAGCTATGCAATAGCTCATGGCTCAAGTCCACAACTCTGTGTGCACAGCACAGCGCCCTGCTGCGATGGTTTTGACCTCACAATGCCATGGCGACAGCACCCTTCATGCAATCAATCATGCCATCAAGACCGAGAAGGTAAATAAATGACGTAATCTTGTCGCGGTTGGGTCATGAGTCAAAGGCAAAGGTGCTCTGGTCCACGGTTGTGGTCGGTGTATGGGTCATGTATGCTCCAGGATTCGGACACAGTGGGAAACTACTACTTACTACACAAGTCATCTTCCTGGTTGGTGGTCTTGCGGCCCTTCGCACACACAAGTTTTCGCGTTTGGAATGGATCGTGACACATGCGGTCACATCCCAAATCTCTTAGGGACAGATTGTTTGGATTTTGGATCACACTTCTGCACACATCCGAAATTTGCTTGGGCCGTTCAGCCACAAGGTTCTCGACATTGGATCATATCTGATCACATATTCCCACATTTGCGTGGGCCCATCCACTCCAGGTGTCTCTACTCCTGGTCACATGTCGGCAAATACCCAAAGAAGTAGATTGGATTTCCTGGTGCTCATTTTGGCCTGTGTGATATATACAAAACCTATTTTTGCACTATTAATGGGCGGGGGCCGACCCTAAGGTCTAGGGTTTAGGGTCCAGGGTTTAGGGTTTAGGATTTCCTTTTAGGGTTTAGGGTGTAGGGTTTACGATTAGCTGGGCTAAGAAATCACTAGGCCAGCAGTGTAGTAGTAAAAAACCCACCCGCCCAAAGAATCCCAAAACATTAGGAAAATATACACTTTCTTCCTAAACCCTAAAGGCCAACCAAACATGCCTTAAACCCTAGAAGCCACTACTATACTCCAAAACTCGTTGCGCAAGCCACATCCCAACAAAAATCATTAATTTTGCAGACCTCAGGCGGGGAAGGTCTGCAAAATTAGCGATTTTTGTTGCGCAGAGCGGTCCTCGCAACAAAAATCGTTAATTTTGCAGACCTCAGGCCGGAAAGGTCTGCAAAATTAGCGATTTTTGTTGTGCACGGCGGTCCTCGCAACAAAAATCGCTAATTTTGCAGACCTCAGGCCGGAAAGGTCTGCAAAATTAGCGATTTTTGTTGTGCAGGGCGGTCCTCGCAGCAAAAATCGTTAATTTTGCAGACCTCAGGCCAGCAAGGTTTGCAAAATTAGCGATTTTTGTTGTGCACGGCGGTCCTCGCAACAAAAATCGCTAATTTTGCAGACCTCAGGCCGGAAAGGTCTGCAAAATTAGCGATTTTTGGTGTGCAGGGTGGTCCTCGCAACAAAAATCGCTAATTTTGCAGACCTCAGGCCGGAAAGGTCTGCAAAATTAATGATTTTTGTTGTGCAGGGTGGTCCTCGCAACAAAAATCGCTAATTTTGCAGACCTCAAGCCGGAAAGGTCTGCAAAATTAGCGATTTTTGTTGTGCAGGGCGGCCCTCGCAACAAAAATCGCTAATTTTGTAGACCTCAGGCCGGAAAGGTCTGCAAAATTAGCGATTTTTGTTGTGCACGGCGGTCCTCGCAACAAAAATCGCTAATTTTGCAGACCTCAGGCCGGAAAGGTCTGCAAAATTAGCGATTTTTGGTGTGCAGGGTGGTCCTCGCAACAAAAATCGCTAATTTTGCAGACCTCAGGCCGGAAAGGTCTGCAAAATTAATGATTTTTGTTGTGCAGGGTGGTCCTCGCAACAAAAATCGCTAATTTTGCAGACCTCAAGCCGGAAAGGTCTGCAAAATTAGCGATTTTTGTTGTGCAGGGCGGCCCTCGCAACAAAAATCGCTAATTTTGTAGACCTCAGGCCGGAAAGGTCTGCAAAATTAGCGATTTTTGTTGCGAAATTGGTTGCCCAGGGCCCTCCTCGCAACAAAAATCGCTAAGGCCATTAACATTTAAATATACATTTGAAAGAGAGGTTCAGGGTTTTGGGTTTAGGGTTTAGGGCCGTCCCGAGGCTGGCCCAAGCCCGCCGACCTTCCGCCTTAAACCGAAACCCCAAGTCCCGAAGCAGAAACCCTAAACTCTTCCCCCCTGGGAACGTACGTTCGGCATAGGCAAAGGTGGAGTGGCCCAGGGCTGGAATGAGGGCTCGGAGGGTGGGGTTGTGAAGGGTTGAGGGTTTAGGGTTTAGGGTTTCCTTTCAGGGTTTAAGGTTTAGGGTTCAGGGTTTAGGGTTTCCTTTTAGGGTTTAGGGTTTAGGGTCCAGGGATGCAATGCATGTGCATCTAGTACATAACCTTTGTTGGGCTTCCAACACCTGTGACAATGAGCGTGCCAAGCGACCAAAACTGGAGCGTGCTAAGCGACCCGAAAAAAAGTTGGCTAAGCGACCCCTGTACCCCATTGCCTCTTAGGCCTATTGCACCTCATCGAACCTTGCACCCCAAAACTCACGAAAAAGGCATTGAGCCAACTGCTTCCTTGTGCTGGTGGCCTCCCCCCAGTCGCCCTTCGCAGCCCTGCGTCCACGTTATCTGCGAAGACGCTCACCCGCTGTGGGAGGAACAGCTGCTCCTCGAGAACTATTGTGTACGCATGCGTCACTTCCCCCTAACAGGAACCCAAGACGCCCGATACCCCAAAATTTAGAACTGCAGCCACCATCCATGGAGGGACCCCCAATGTGATTTAAAGTCTATGCCTGAAAGCACGAGGTATTGGGCTCTCTGGGAGTTATCCTAGCTACAATCCATCTACGGACCTGAATTTAATTTAAGAGGAAGCTTTTGTAAGGGAGATTATGTCTTTGGGGGGCCTTATGTTGAAAGGCAGGCAGGAGGATAGGGCAAGGATTCTGCAAAAAGTTTCACTGAGAGTGCCCGTGGACTGTAAAGTTTGGAACTTTGAGTGCTCAAGTGCCAAGATGGGATTAATAACCGGCAAAATTTGGATCGCACTAGTTCCTGCAATTGTGAAACTGTCGGATGATGTGGGCACGGGTGGTGCTGTTCACAGGCACTCCTGGACGGATTGCACAAACGGGCTGTGGCCACTGGAGGACCATCATCGGCAAGCAGTCCCGGGCCACACGAGTAGATGACATACAAGCCGCCCCGGTCACCACGGCGTCTGCGACTCAAGCTCTTCCGGAGGGGATCGCAATGGTTCCCGGCGCTCGGACAACGGCAGCAGTCTGCCAGGAGGACCACGAACAAGTTCTTAGCCGGCTGGGTAGCGCCAAACCGCGCTATGCCTGGAGGAGGTCTGCGAAGAAGAGGTGGAATGGGAGGTCTACAGCGACTGACCTTTTTACATACCTTGCTATCAGAAACCCCAACCGTCGTCCAGATGCACTTCCATAAGGTCGCGGCACAAGCAACTTGCGTCGAAATGGGTCCCCATGTCATCATGATTCGCGCTCTCCGGGGCCCACATCATCCTGCCGTCCACCTCCACAGCATGGCCAGAGTAGGAGATCACCAGCAGGGCCTCTCAGGTTTGCAGAGGGGGTGACTAGAGACCGGCAGTGTCAACAGTTGTCCTAGTTACAGCAAGAGGGGTCGGGCTAAGAACACGGAGTCTACGCATAGTCACCAGAATCAGAAGCATAATGAGAATAATTCACATAGAACATGTGGGAGACCTTCCTTACTCTTGCTCCCGGCGTCTCCTTGGCTTAGCTTACTGACAAACCGTCAGCACGGGACTACAAGTTCTATTGTTGATAGGAATGATAGGAGATGGAGGTATCAAAGACCCAAACAAGCCACTACTGGGCCTTTGGCTTCTTGTCGCCCCGGCAAGCCCTGTGATTGGCATGTTTAGTGCAGTGCAAACCCTTCGCCTTAGTTGTGCCAGCGACCTTTTGGACGGCTGTGCGCAAGCCAGCGTCGATGTCTGCCCCAGTAGAGCCCGGCACAGGAAGCACCTTGGAGAGGTATGAGTTACACTCAGCAACTCTTTCATGTGGACCACTACAGGCATGTGGGGGCGTATTCGGGGCATACTTTAGGGGGCGCATTCGGGATGCATGGGAGGCTAATGTGGGTTGAGAAAAACGAGGATACCTAGGCTCCAACCCCCACCTCGTCGTAGCCCATGCTCTGGCACTGCTGCGCCAAGACCTCCGCATCTGCATGTGGTGTCGTCAGCCGTGGATAAAACGGCGTGTCGGAGTAAGCCTCGCATGAAATGGCAACCAGCACGCGGCGGGGATGGTCAATCAATGGGCTCGCCGAAGCAATGTCGCCGCTCGGAAGAAGCAACGGGGAGACCAAGTTGCCCAAGTTGCCCATCAAGCTCCGATAGCAGAAGCGCAGGTGCTTGTAGCAGCGCCAGCACAGCGCAAGCAGGAGTACGATTGCTGCAACCGATGAGGCCACAGCCATGACAACCATGCGCGTCTGCTGCCAGTAGTATGCTGCGCACTCAGACTCAGACCGGCGACATGATCCGGCCTCCTTGCCTTCTGATAAGCAGCAAATGCTTTTCCCGCTGTGCGATGCACAATCAATCCCTTGCTGGTCTGTCACGCGGCAAGGTGAGTATCGTGCAGTGCAATCAGCATCGCTGAGCTGGCATGGGTCATGTGCAGATGGACTGCTCTCACGCAGGCAGCAAACAAGCTTGTCTAGCGAGCTGCACAGCACGCCCCTTCCCGTGCCAGCACATGGAACGTAAGCTACACATGAGTTTCTCTGACAGACTGCATGTGGATCATGGCTGAAACTCTTGTTGTGGGTGACCTTGGTGCTTGGCAACAAACAGCAAGGCCGAGGCTCATCTTGTCCAGGCCAAGAGCAGTCCACACCATCACCGTGCAAGCAGCAGCGCGCGCCGCTCTGACGATCCTGCGTGGCTCCTTTCGGCAAACAGCTTAGGAGCCGACCCCTGCAGCGACAGCTTCCAGCTTGTGCCACACTGTGTCGGCCATCCGTGGTCGCTAGGCTTGCAGCAACCGTCTCCGCAGATGACTGGGAACACCTTGCGTTCTCCGTACCGAACTGCCTCGCAACACTCCCACTTGCAGTCTCCACTGTACCTGCCACCGGTGCGGCATTTGTAGATCTCCGGGCTGGGGACTTCAGACGGGTTGCAACAACAGCCCAGCTTGAAGCGGTTGGGCTTGAAGCACTGCTTTCCTTCATTCACACACCGAGTCTGGCAATCCGAGCTGTTGCATTGAGCGGCGCCCGGGCCACTGCATGTGTCGCAGGGGAGAGTGTGACGCTTCCAGCGCTTCAGCAGTTCGACGGCAAGCAGCATGCTTGAAGCAGCCGGTGCCGGTGAAGTCGATCTTCAGAGCACTCTGGGCCTTCACGTCGACATCGGTTTCACAAGACGAAGCGAAGCACGGAGTGCAGGAAACAGGAAACGGCCTGACGCACCTGCAGCACCGAGGGCCAGTAAGCCACAGCCCGTGCCTCGACAGGAAAACAAACGCGGGTCAGATTGTCAGACCCATTATTAGTCGGCCGAGTTGCGATCACGGTCTGGTTTACCAACTCCACCAAATCCGATGGAACTGAATCGACACCGACCATCTCGTATCCGATCCTGCCGGGAAGTCCGAATCGCAGGTCAACAGCGCAAAGTATAGCATGTGACAGCAGTTTGGAACTCAGAGCGGTGACGGCTCGCATCGAAGATCACCTTTATTGACTACGAAACCCCCTCAGATCGGGAGAGGGTTAGCCAGGTTCAATAGAGAGCAAGCTCATCTTCTACGTGCCATGCAAAACCAAGACCGCCGCAGAAGCATTTTGCTCATCTCTTCTTCATTCTGCAGCTTCGTGATGCGACTAGCCCCAAGCTCATTGGCTTGCTAACGGCCAGTCAGAAGACAAGCGAGAGAAGCTTGCGATGGCTGGTGCCACAAGTGTCTCGAAGTTGAAACTTAGAAAGCCAAAAGAAATCTCGAGAGTTGTCGCGCTTCTCGCGCTATGCTAAACGAGAGACCTGTCCCGAATGACTCTGGGGGCATTCACCGTGTAGGCGGGAGGACTTACAATGGGAGACTGCGCTGTGATTGAGCCTGCGCAGAACTTGATCTCTAGTAGAAGAAATATATGGACTGCAGAGGCGGGAACGGACCCCCTCGCCTAGTTGCCCACCCAAAACGGCCAGTCTCTAGGACTCTAGGGGACGCGACAGATGTCGTATCCCAGTTGGTTCCAGGGAGACGACTGCCCGCTACAGCATAGAAGTTTATGATAAACGAAAAACTGTGCAAGAATAATATTGTAATATTGATGATGATAGTTACTTCAAAACATGATTCTCCGATGGGAACCAGCAACAAGATCTACACTACACCGAGGCCAACACGCCAACCTAGACCGCATTTTGGCCCACTAGTTCGAACGATCTGTCATCCTTGGGGCGGTGGAGGACACGGCGGAGAGCCAGAGCCGCGAAGGCAGCGGCCATGCTGGCGAAGGCGAGGAAGGCCCCGAGCAGAGCCGAGGGCAGGTGAAGAGCAGAGCCGGCAGGGCCTCCTGGCCTCTGCATGGCGAAGAGCTTGCTGGCGGGAGCTGGGGTGGGCGCACTAGCGGCTCGCTGGCTCGGCGGAAGGCACGCGGCCGCGATCGGGTGGACGGCCTTTGCCTTGGCAGCGAGCTCCTCGCCCTTCATCGCTGTGGCTTTGAGCTGGGTCATATACGGCGCAAGATCCGCTGCACCCTTGAGCACGTGGGAGGTCAACTGAGTCATCGTGTGCTCGACGCCGGTAGTGAGCACCTTCGCCAACTCTTCACCCTGCTTGAACTCCGCTGCTGTGTGACACAGGGACATTCCAAGCTTCTCCATCTGCTGCTGGAGGCTGTTCACCTGTTCCGTGTTATTGACAGCCTGCGCTGCCGCCATCTGTCCCGGAATCGTCGGAATCTGCGCGGCAATAGCATCGAGCTTAACCATGGATGCATCGATCTGAGCCTGGGCTTGCGCCATCTGTGCATCCATGTTCTTCACGACAGCGGCGACTTGATCGGCCATGGATGCTGATGCTGATGCAGAGACTTCCTCCTCCGGCGTGGCATCCACGTTTGCCTCTTCTGCTGTTGCTGCTGCTGCCGCTGCCGGTTCGAGCATTTTGGCCATCACATCCCGCCCCACCTTTTCTGCAGACTGCGCCACTCCAGGCTCCACGAGCAACCTGGTGGCCGGCGTAGCGGCTCGCTGGCTCGGCGGAAGGCATGCGGCCGCGATCGGGTGGACGGCCTTTGCCTTGGCAGCGAGCTCCTCGCCCTTCATCGCTGTGGCTTTGAGCTGGGTCATATACGGCGCAAGATCCGCTGCACCCTTGAGCACGTGGGAGGTCAACTGAGTCATCGTGTGCTCGACGCCGGTAGTGAGCACCTTCGCCAACTCTTCACCCTGCTTGAACTCCGCTGCTGTGTGACACAGGGACATTCCAAGCTTCTCCATCTGCTGCTGGAGGCTGTTCACCTGTTCCGTGTTATTGACAGCCTGCGCTGCCGCCATCTGTCCCGGAATCGTCGGAATCTGCGCGGCAATAGCATCGAGCTTAACCATGGATGCATCGATCTGAGCCTGGGCTTGCGCCATCTGTGCATCCATGTTCTTCACGACAGCGGCGACTTGATCGGCCATGGATGCTGATGCTGATGCAGAGACTTCCTCCTCCGGCGTGGCATCCACGTTTGCCTCTTCTGCTGTTGCTGCTGCTGCCGCTGCCGGTTCGAGCATTTTGGCCATCACATCCCGCCCCACCTTTTCTGCAGACTGCGCCACTCCAGGCTCCACGAGCAACCTGGTGGCCGGCGTAGCGGCTCGCTGGCTCGGCGGAAGGCATGCGGCCGCGATCGGGTGGACGGCCTTTGCCTTGGCAGCGAGCTCCTCGCCCTTCATCGCTGTGGCTTTGAGCTGGGTCATATACGGCGCAAGATCCGCTGCACCCTTGAGCACGTGGGAGGTCAACTGAGTCATCGTGTGCTCGACGCCGGTAGTGAGCACCTTCGCCAACTCTTCACCCTGCTTGAACTCCGCTGCTGTGTGACACAGGGACATTCCAAGCTTCTCCATCTGCTGCTGGAGGCTGTTCACCTGTTCCGTGTTATTGACAGCCTGCGCTGCCGCCATCTGTCCCGGAATCGTCGGAATCTGCGCGGCAATAGCATCGAGCTTAACCATGGATGCATCGATCTGAGCCTGGGCTTGCGCCATCTGTGCATCCATGTTCTTCACGACAGCGGCGACTTGATCGGCCATGGATGCTGATGCTGATGCAGAGACTTCCTCCTCCGGCGTGGCATCCACGTTTGCCTCTTCTGCTGTTGCTGCTGCTGCCGCTGCCGGTTCGAGCATTTTGGCCATCACATCCCGCCCCACCTTTTCTGCAGAGTCCGCAGCAGCAGCAACGGCATTTGCTGCTGAAGCTCCCTCTGCGAAGCTCAAGACGAAGGCTGTGCAAAGAGCTGCGACGATCCGGGCCATTGGGCAAAAGATGCCGCGCGGGCTTCAGGGTCACAACAGGAGAGGTCACAGAAAGCTGGAGAGCCAAATGGGCCGGGGGCCTAGGCGATGCAAGCGGCGTTTACAATGAAGCAATGCGTGTGGTTCAGCATCTGGCACGTATGGCACTTGGCATGTGGTTCACACAGCATGTCCTGCGGGGGACTTGCTGGGCTCGTCTGGCCTTCCTTCAATCGAGACAGCGACAGAAGAACTTCGTGTGACTTTGTAGCATGGCGCCCATAATGCCATAGCTACTTGCCATCAGCTAGCAGCTAAGCTAGGTGGGGCTTTTGAAGCGTTTGACAAATATTAGTAAATAAGATCCTCTTAAGCCCAATGAGGGAAAATATAAAATGTCCCAAAGCCCTACCTAGTAAGTTACTCACTGCCGGGCGCGCTCGCCGCGCCTGGAAACGACAGAGGCGCCGTGCCCAGGCCTTGGAGCACAGAGGATCTGCTGAGCACTTTTCTCAAAGGGGGAAAGGAGGGACCTTTAATGGGGACCTGTACCATAATGGGCTATACAATGGGTATATAATGGCTATATTAAGGGTCTATACCTAGGGGTCCTTACTAAGGGTCCCTCCTTTTACCCTTGGACTTTCACTTCAATGGGACTCACATTCGATGAAAAGAGCTGGCGCACATCAGAGAAAAGCAGCGCCCCTATGGTACCCCTTAAAAAGAACCCCAAAACCCTTAAACGGAACCCCTATATGGTACCCCTTAAAACGAACCCCTATGGTACCCTTTATAGGAACCCCTATGGTACGCTGGGCAGGCGGGCCGACTGGAAGGCTGCCCGAGGCCCCACGAAGATCACGGCCTTCATACTTCCGGGATCTTAAAATTATTGTTGATAATAAATCTAGGGTTCCCTTAAAGGGATCTATAAGGGTACGTTTGAGGGATGATGATATGAATCCTGCATTACCTTAAGGTCCCTAAACTATGGGAATGATGGTATATTCCTTATTATGGGAATGCAGGATTTGTATCATCAACCGTATGTCAATCTCAGGAGTGCTAAGTCTAGAGAAGCCATGATTTCCAGAAATAGGAGATAAATAGGAAATAAATAGAACTGAAGGGTTTATAGGAAATAGGAAAGAAATAGGAAAAACATCGGAAAGGAAACTCAATAGGAGAAAAATAGGAATAGAATAGGAGAGCAAAAGAGAAACATAGGAACAAAATAGGAGGAAAATACGAATTAAATAAGATAAAAGCATGAATAACATAAGAGAAAATAGTAATAAAATAGGAATAGAATGGGATAAAAATAATAATACACGAAAAACCTGCGAAACAAACATTAAAATAACACAGTGCCGCAGGGTGGAAAGTGGCGCGGGGAGGCCGGCCCCGGAAGCGAAGCCTGTCGAGGAGGCACCTGTTGAGGAGCCAAAAACAAGAGAGGCCGCCCGCCAGGCAGCAAGAACAAAGCCGGAGCGAAAGTCGGAGGGAAAGCCAAATCCACAGCCCAAGCCGAAGCCAAGGCCCAAACCGAAGCCAACGCCAAGCCAGAAGCACCTGTCTTCGTGCCAGCGCTCGTGGTTCCAGCCACCTGGCACTTGCCAACTCAGAGTGGGAAGCTGAGGCGGCACAAAACGTGGGTGTGCCGTGTGCCGTGGGTGTACAACTTGCCTCGGGCATAGCCATGGAAGAACAGGCGTGGGCTGAACTTGCCCATCTCAGCCGGAGTGGCGATCGATGCCGAAGCTTGCCGCAAAGCACCGCCGCCGCCCAGGCATGCAAGGAGCCTCCACCGGGACTTCGGACAAGCAGGAGCTTCGGTGCCTGGGCACCTAAATCAAGCACGTGCTTATCGCTTCTTCGGGCTCTTCAACATTCGTGCATTGGAGAGCCTGGGTTCTAGGCAGTTTTAGCCCCCCAGCATGATTGCTGACCGCTTGCACATGTTTATCATTTGCTGGTGTAAATGCTCGCAATAGTCAGCTGTGCACTCAGACTTTGAACTCTTTAACTGATGCCTGCAAGTTGCAACTTCTACGCATAGCACTTGCTTTGATGCTGTGCAGCATTGCTTGCTGCTCGGCTGGAGCCTGACACCAGCGACCTTCGCGAGGATCAAGGCATTCCACGGTGTCCTTCACTCGCTGCTTTCAACGTGTGCACGTGTGCATTGCTCCTGCCTCTGAGGCCCGTGCAAGGCTTGCGGACTCGTCACAGCCACCCCCCATGACCCAGACCTCGCTCGGCAAGAAAGCAACGGGGGACCTTTCCCCGAGGAGAGCTCCCGACCCGGAGAGTCAGAGCCAGAGCTGAGCCTGGAGCACGGCCATCTGGGCCGAAGCTGCGCAGCCTGCACGCGCCTTCGGAGCCCAAGGAAGCTGACAAAGCGCCTCTTTCTTTCTCTTGCTGCGGCTCCGTGCTACCGAGTAGCCTGTGATAGCGCAGGACCGGGGAACCACCCGCGCAGCAGGCCCTCGGAGCTACCGTCTGCCCACTCCACGGACTCCTGGGAACAGGGCGCCCAAAGGCAGAATGTGCCTGTAATCCAGGCTCAGAACCCACTTGAGAAGTACCGTGCTGGGCCAGCTTGGCCGTTCATTGGGAATAGGGGCTTAGGGCTTGGGGCTGAGGGTGCGCTAAACCATCTTCTGGAGCTCTCTGAAGCTAAAGGGCCGCGAGCCAAAAGTTCTGGAAACCTCGAACCTTAGGAGTTTTGGGTTTAGGGGTCGAAGCTTTAGAGCTTGAGGATTTGAGCCCTTGGCCCCTGAAACCTCAGGCCCAGTAGAACCCTTTACCCAAACTCCAAACCCAACTCGAATGCAGCTCGGCTGCAGGCAACCGTTTGGCCAGAATCCTCACGGGCTCCCGTACTTCTTTTTTTGCTTCCCTTCGTGATTTCCTATCGTTTTACCCATCACAGGTAGCCAAGCACCTGACAATGCATGCTTAGCTTTCAGACCCACAGCAGGGTCATTACTCGATTTGGAGTGGGAGAGCGAGAGTGGGAGGGGGAGCTTGTAAACAGCATCTGCTTGCACACAGCAACCGGGTTTGTCTAGCCTCGGTCTCTCCCGTGGGGATGCCGCTGACGCAAAACTGTCCTGCAGCGGCGGCTGACGCCGCACATGGGGGAACGTCGACGGCAGCGAGACATCGTGTCAGCCCTTGGTATGATACACGTCTGAAGCTCATGAGGACGAACAGCAGCCAAAACAACATGAAATGAACGAGTAAGTAGCGAGGATTTTCTCGCTCTCGGGGTTAGGGCTGAGGAACAGCTTATGGGCTCCTTGCCGATGTTTTCGATGATTCTGGAGGGCTCTGGACTCTGAACGCTTGGTTGTGCTATCTCGTGTTGCGTGCCACATGCCTGAGTGAAAGATTGCAGAAGAAACTGTCAAGCCTCTAAGGATAACCATATAGATCCTTCCCCCTTCCCCGAATCCGAGCCTTTGTCAGTCACAGGGCTTCGGCCGGTGTTCCTGCCGGGATCTTCTCCACAACCAGGTGCCTTGGCTTGATTTCCTTTCTATGCCGGTTCTATGCCTGTGCAAGTGACAGCGGCGAAATCGTTCAAGAGATAGAGCTAGCTGTAAAGAATATTGACATGGTCGTCTTCTCCATCTCTTTCAACTCCCTTTCGCTAGTGGTGGGGGTTGGGGGGGGTGGGCGCGCCCCGAACTCTCGCTTTGGCGCTCTCCCTGGGCATCCTTTTCTGCAAACACCAAGCATCCAAAAGATTCCTTGGTGCCATTTATGCCCTGAGCCACGAAGGGCCTTACACCCTTCAAAGGGCTCATGATGCTGTACAAGAGACGTGTGCTCTCAAAAGAGTCGATTCGGGCTGTCGCGGAAACTTCTGAGGGCCGCGAGACTGAACCGCAACTTATGGCGGCGCAGAACCTAAAGCTACATTGGAACTTCCGTGCTGCCCCGAGCGAGCATCTCAGCACTTCACGACAACTTCGTTCCTAATGAACTGGGGATTGTGCTTTGCCCAACAACGAAATTATGAAACCCGAGAACAGCTCTCAGTCCGTGCTTCAAGCATCACTGGTAAGTTCGTCGGCACAGGACTATTTCCCAACTCACTCCATGGCCGCTTCTCCACAGCTGCCCATGAAGTTCCAGTTACAAGTAGCTTCATCCAGGCTTGCATT